TCATTTAATTTAAAACTGCTTCACTGTCTTTTCATTTTCATCATCATCAGTGGCAGGAGGCTTCTTTTGGAGGCCATATTTTTCTAAAAAACAAAGATTTTTATACCTTTTTAAGAATTATAATCTGTGTACAGTGAAATGTAGGGAGCAAGAAAGCTGAATTGAAATTCGTTTACTATGTTCCAGCTACCTAAATTTCACTGCACTCCAGTTCTGTGTTTCTGCAACAAAAAGAGTCAAAATTATAAATATTAAAGCTGTGGATATCAAATATAATCTGCTTAACTTTCCTCCTTTTAGAAGAGGAAGGCAAGAAATTTAGTAGTAAAAGACTCTGCTACTATTATCGCTAGTACTATTAGCTAATAATTGAGTACTTATTTCATGCTAGAAAGATTTAATTCTTGCAACAACGCTATGAAGTAGTCATTATTATTTTCTCCATTTTATGGTTGAGGAAGTTGGCGCAGAGAGAGGAAATAACTCAGCTTGCCAAAGATCAAACAGGAAGGATGTAGTGGAGTCAGAATTTAAATCTAGGCTGTAAGTCCTCAAAATCTCTGCTCTTTACCACTTATAGTATACTGTGGTTCAAAACCATTTTCACATGTTGTTGATATGAATAAAGCATTTAAATTCCTGAATTGTGAGCAATATTACTGAGCTATACTTTTAATCTTTTAAACTGGTAAGACTAAGTTAATTTAATACTTAGATTTTTTTTTTGACAAGTTGATAAAACTAACAAAATGGCATTAACATTTTAATATTTGTGTTCTTAGTTAGGAATGGTTTTATTATGTAGCTTTTATGCATTTCAAGGAAAAGTATAAATTAAGCACTGGGAACATGAGTTTCAGGAAATAGTTGTCCTGTAAGAAGATACAGGGCAATTTACAGGGATGATTTAGTTGATTAGTTTAAATGGTCATTTGAATGTGCAGTGTCCAACTGGGACTCTTCTGATCTATAGGCCAGTACCATCTGGTGGTAGTTTTTGTGACTCAGAGGCATTCATGAGGTAAAGAAACTTTATTTAATCCAAAAGAAGAATCAAGTTTCTTGTGAAATGAGGTGGCTTAACTTTGTGGATAAGTAAAATTTTAGGATCCAGTTCTGCTTTACTTATATCACAGATTCTTAATTCGCGTTCGTAAAAATACTGGGTAGGAAGTTAAAAGGTTTAACTTTCTATTTGATTCAGAAAGATTGTTATTCTCATTTAATTACTGATTTTTCATATTTATTGACATCTGTTGCAAAAAGTACATTGAATAAATAATAAAAGTAGACTGGAAAGTGAGCTTTTGGAAATGATTAAATAAATTTTAATTCAGAACTCACGTTCGTAAAAATACTGGGTAGGAAGTTAAAAGGTTTAACTTTCTATTTGATTCAGAAAGATTGTTATTCTCATTTAATTACTGATTTTTCATAT